GGGGTGGCAGGGCCGCGCCGCGCCGCCTCGGGGCCGGGGAGGTACGAGGCCGGTTCCCGCCGCCCCGCTCTCAAGCAAGTGTGGGTCCAGGGTCGGCCTGAAGCGAGGCGGGCGGAAGAGAGAGAGAAGGCAGGGAGGGCCGGCGGCGTTCATCGGGGGAATGAGAGGGCTGTGGAGAAGTTGCGCCGATAAGGCTCCGAAAAGTAAACCAACTTCGGTGTTTTCGCGCTCCGCCCCTCAGCCCCCGGCGGTGCTGCCCGGTGTAATATCAACTGACAGGTGCTCTTGGGGTGACCGGTGTTACGTACTGACATGATACTTATTCCTTCCAAATGTTTCCTGGAATGCCTCTTCCCTTGCTCATAGAAGGAAAACCGAAAACAGCAAAGTCCAAAGCTGTCAATTATGCTTAATGAGGAGAAAAGTATTGCCGATGAAACATTCCTTTCCAATCCCCACTGCACGCCAGGTCTGCGGAAGCAGCTACTGCAATACGGCGGTCAGTGCCTGCACTGCGACCTCCCCTTCGTCCCCGCATCAGAGCGGGAATGGGAAGGTTCCCCCTCGCCTTTGGGCGATGCCCAGTCCCCCCGCGCCGGCTCCCGCTCTCGCCGCCTTTTCTCTCCATTTTCCACAGGAGAAAACGGGACATCCTCCGTCCCACCAGACTTCGCCGCCTTTGAGCCTCCACCCCGAGGGATAAGAAACAAATACTCGGCGCGGCACAGGCTGGGGGCGCTGGGCTCTGACAGCCTCCAGCAAAGTGGGGGAGGCAGGCGGAGGCCACCTGCTTGCCGAGGAGCGGAACGGGAGCATACGCACACCCCCCTGCTTGGGCGTCAGACAGCCCCCGCCTGTAGGTGGCCCTCTGTAAGGGGTCTGCGCCTCGGATTTGCAGGTGCCGGTGGTGCTTGACCTCTTCAGCTGTTAGCGCGCAGAACCCCGCAGTGCACGAGGTATGCTTGTGGAGGAAAATACTTCTCACATACAACAATAGTGAATTGTTAACATTTTACTTACCTAAAGAACGGATGTGAAACTCACACCTTCTTTTTCCTTACTTTTATTCACACGCTGGAGCCCGTAAATGGAAGAACAGCTCTTTGACTGGAACTAGCAGTCTGTATCACTTGCTCGAAATGGGCATCGTACCATAGCTGCACACTCCCCCACCCCACACCCCCGTGCAGTAGGGCTGTGTCCATCAGCAAAGTATGGAGTAGAGAAATATCATCAGTTAGGTTATCTGATTCTCTGTTCATGTCTAACATTATTTCTGAGAAATGCAGTAAAATGTTACTTTTTCCTGTTAAGACTTTGTGCCCTGACAATGGAGGCACTATAAAGTGTGACAAGCAGAGATGTCTTCCACTGGCTGTTACTGGCTTCAGCTCAACTATTACAAAGACACTATATAATATGTCAGAAACATGGAAGAATATAGATCTCCTATTGCCTTCTTACATATTAGCGAAACAAATGCCATGGCTCCACATGAAAATCACATTACATCAGAAATAGATGAACTGTAATCACCACACATATTATTTATTAAATGTTACTGTTTCCTGCTTTCATCGGATCTGTGATACTTTCCTAGAGAAACACAATCATGTGTAGCTTTTTCCTTTCTACAAATCAATTCCAAATATCTCCCATGGTTCAAAAATCTAGAGAACCTCTTTTGTTTTCAAGAAATTATAAAGTACAACTTGGACTGTGCATTCAAAACATCCTTAATGGAGGTTAGATTTGAAAAACGGCAATTTAGCTTAGCCACTCATTTCAGCCTCCAGAAAAAAAAAAAAAAAAAAAAATCTGGGCCTTAAACCTATACCTTTAGTTCAAGAAGTTTCTCCCAAGACATGTGCCAGAGAGATGCCTGCTCAAGTGTTCAAGTGTGTCCATAGTCTGGGTCCCTCACTTTGAGGTAGCCGTTGTTCACTCCCATTTTGCTAAAATTAAACCCATGTTTTTTAAAAAAATCCCCTGAAATGAAATAGATACCCATACACATGTCCAGAAAGTTCACCATTACATACAAACATTAAATTTTGTAATAGGGGATTTTTTTTTTCTTTTATATTTATGCAATGTTCTCTTCCATTTTTAGAATGAGCAAGGTGTGCCTAGTTGCCAGTTCTCCTTTCTCCTCCTCAGAAAGGGCTGAGATTCCGGGAGGGCGTGTGTGTGGAACTTCTGCTGCTTTCAGTAGGACACAAAACCAAAGTAACAGCAATACTAAAAGGTAAAGCAACCCTTCTCACATTTTAACTACTATCTCCTCAAACCCAGTTATATGCTATGCACATCTCCATAGGAGTTGTGCTGACTTTCAGCACGAAAGGCAGCTTTCCTTAGCAAGCATAAAGACATCCATTCTGCGGCTTCTGTTAGTAGTATGCTAACATATCATCAAGCTACTTTATCGTCTTCTTCCACTCATCCTGTGGCATGAGTCTTTGCAGCTACAGTATGATTAGTATTTTTCAGAAGTCTGTTTAACTGTGACTAGGCAAGACCATGGGCTGGCAACATTTGAGTTCTTACACAACTGAAAGATAGAAAAACCCCCATAGTATTAAGCAATGAACACATTTGCAAGAAGAGAATGATTTCTTCAGTTACTGGAAGTAACCTTTAAGTGCCTGTAATTCACAATCAACTTTAAGATAGTTTTAAAAGGTCTCAAGCTGGTATTTCAATAATTTTCAGTTTCTTCCTTGCAGCAGCAGCCTTAAGTCAGGAGAGAATGTCTACAATTACCTTTTCTTTATGCTTTTGCTCTCTTTTCCTGTGCCTCAAATTGGACTATAAGCTTTGCATATCTACTAATGAAACCAGCAAGATCTCTCAGAACTGCCAGAATAAATTTGATTTTTTTCTTGCAGTAGAGAATCATCTTAGAATGTATGAAACTAATTTTTCATGTTTTTTTATAGGAGAAAGTATGGTCTCTATCTCAATATGCAACACATTTGATTTACTGTGGTGACAAATATTAGTATTACTTTTTTTAGGTATTTTTAATGCCCTTTCACCAACTCAGAGTTTAGTCCAGCAGCTCTTAAACTAGATCAGAGCTGCTGATTCAATGCATAACACTCTGCACTTTCAGTTTTTCTTATTAAATCTTTTATTCCATTCGTAGACATATATATGTGCAAAAAAGAAACCAACAAAAAAAAATGTACACATTTTTATCAAAAGCACTGGTGAGTGCTAAGAATATGCAGACGAAATGAAATACATATTTTACTCTTCATTGATTTAGGCCCCCATGCTGAGCCTCGGAGGATTAGGGTATTTCTCTTACAACTCACAGTTCCATTGACTTGAATGGCAGTACCTAAGGAGTAAATGACTTTGTCTTCTTGAGTATCACCAAAGCTACTGGTAATGGTGCCAGCTCAACACCCTCCTTTCTCCCATTTCAGGTTTGAACATTGGGTTGTTGGAGAGGTGCTCAGGCAAACCTAATCTGATATAATCAGGATATCACTGAATATCAAAATACTTTCTAGTTTGTAAGACGGGTGTTCCTCAGTCTTCCATGTTATCACAGACAGGTGCTTCAGCCAAAGATACTTCCAGTTTCTGAGAAGATTTTTCCATTTAGCTTCTATTTGTGTAAAAAAGCCTGTCTGGCTGACCATTTCCCACTAGGATATGAAAGCTTGGAAGCTGAATTTGTTTTGCTATTTTGTTATATCAATACAAATAGTAAGAAATGTTTGGGTATTTTTTCACATATAAAATTACTGTGCAAAAGATCAGAAGGGAAAAATTTCATTGAGACTGGTACAGGAAGATGGCTATGCGCATCTCCTGAGGAAAACTCCCAAATAAAAAATGCTTGAAATGTTTAAATATATTTATTAAAATAGGTACAAATAGGATCAGCATTTTTTAAAAAGTTGCTAACTTCAGAAAAAATGTCCTGCATTAATTCAAAGGATAGCAACAGATCACAGCGTATCAGGAAACCACCTAGAAATACTATAGTTGGAAAACCTCCAGAAGCAGGAGCTATAATCGCTCACCAGACCTTATGAATACATGTTTCACTGACAATGCTCAGTGGTTTCCAGGGATGCAAATTTTCTACTCCCACCTCATATTCCAAACCTACTGCGGGTAGACACCCTTTACACAAAAGGAGAGATAAACTTTTAAGCTTGAAAAGAGCACTGAAATGACATTAAAATGCTGTTTTCTCTCTTCTTCAGGTGTACTGAAGAAATATGTGTATTTTCTTTCCCAGGTAGAGATTTCCTAATAATGGGAGAAAAGTCGTAGTTTTTTTATTGCATGCTAATAAATTTAATCCTTCATGTTATTTAAAATATATGTTTAAAAAATGCATACTCAATCAATGCTTATTAAAAAAAAAAAAAAAAATTACAAATGCTTATGTGTATGTGCCAGCACAGGAGACCCTAAAATGTTTTCTCAAACCCCCCCAACTGTTGTCTTCTTATGGGTGCTTCTGCAGATGGCCACTGCATGCATCTCTTCTGGTTGAAGTGTTAATTAGCCGAAAAATGTATTAGAAGCATAAAAGCATGGCTATTTTGAAAGAATACAGTGGCTCAGGTTAAAATTCAGTGAGATGCCTCAGTGTTGCAGTTGCTTCTAGCCACCTTGACAAATTGCAGGTACTCAAAATGGAGAAAAGCAATCACTTACAAAACATTCGTATCATTTAAGGTGCAGTTACTTCTGTTAAGATTCATGACAGGTGGAAATCAAGTTGAAATAAAAACTAGCTCTGTGTCCTGCTCCTGCTAACAGGCTCAGTATTTTGTAAAATGAACACAGCAAAAATCTGTTCAAGTATTTGCATCAAGCAGCCTCCAAACTAGTTAAAATTGAAACCTTCTGATTCTGTGGTGTATTGTGTCACCCCAGGTGACACAATAAGCTGCACCGCCTGCAGACTCTGACAAATAAGAATAAAGTTACTTCTTGAAATTTCTCATCTTTCCTAGGCTGAGTTATTTATTCCTCTTTCTTGCCTATCTGAAACAAGTATCACTGCAGAGATCTTTCATCTCTAGTTAGAGCAACAGAGTACATTTCAATTAAAAACACATTAAAAATAGTTGTATTAATATTTCTAGGAGCTCTCAAATAGAACAGCCATCAGCACATTTACAAAAAAGGCAATGAACAAAAACAACTGCAAAATGGCCCCCTCATTTCTAGGGGTTGTCATTATAGAAAAGTCACTGGAAAGAATGCCTTGAGTTTGAATACATTCAAATCAGTCTGTGATAGCTTCAGTGGAACAGTCACCTTTTGCAACAGGATAAGCAGCAGCAGAGGATTGTTCTGAGGGGGTGTTTTCTTCTGTATTCCAAAGCTTTTTTCACTTGCTCTTTAGCTTCTCCTACATAGTCCTCAACATTTTGCATATTTATCTCAATGACATCAAAGGTGTCTGCCTGTTCCTCCACTAGCAGGGCCACCTGCAGAAAGAGCTCGTGAACTTCCTTAATGCGACCTTCTAACTTCACCAGCTCTTTATGACGTGTCTCTATCTCATTCAAGGCTGAGCGAGCCCCCTTAACATCTGACAGGAGATTCTCAGAGAAGACATCCCACTTGCCTTGCTCAATCATCTCCTCAATCTGGTTGCCAGAAACATCTTTGCCCATGATCTCTAGCTGCCGCTGAATTCGAATCTTGCAGTTCTCCCGTTGGTTCATCTCTGTTGCATTGTATTCAAACATAGCTTCCTGAAAGGCATGCATAAGGTCAACATAGTGGTTCTTTGCTACCCTGGCAATGACAGACATAGCCCCATATTTTGTTATTGCATCTTCGCTGAAATCTCTCATTATCTGGAGTTTCCTGTGGATGCTTTCTCCGCGGGCCTTGATGTCTCTGGCAATACAATTAGTATCTCGTTTGATGCTACTAAGACGGCGCATGGAGGTAAGGAAGCGGTTGTTTTGCTTTCTGAGCCGCTTGACATCCTCTTTTAGATGGTCATTTTCTGTCCGGATGTTCTGTATGTCCTTATGAAGAAGTTCCAAAGCATAATCAGTCTCATAAAGGAGAACATCTTGGGGTGAATTTTCATCATCCTCACTATCAGAAAACTGTTGGTTGTGTAACCTGGCAAATTCACGCAGCTCGTTTAGCCGGTCTTTCATCCTGCCTGTAAAACAGAGGAACAGGAGGAAAGAAGTTTAAAGTAAATAAAACATTGGTTTACAAGGGTTAAAAGTTCATAACTAATAACTACATCATAGTTATAACTGTATCGTAGGTAACATAACTACATCAAAGATAAGCCAAAATACCAGATTTTAAATTTGTTCACAGTATTTTATACAGTGATGGATCTCAGAACCAAGACCCTGGTGCTAGAACACTCTTCTATAAACTACAAAACTTAGAAACTGAAGAAGTGCAAGAAAGAAAACAACAAATCCCAAAGACAATTCCAAAAGAATAATAAGAACCCCCATAATACCGGTCTTTCACTTGGAGAAAAAACCAAACCGTTGAGCAAATGATAGGAAGTCTTCAGCTATCGGTATGTGTAGGCATGTTAACAACCGAACACTTCCTACTGCTGCTCACTAGAGAAATCTCTAGAGCTTGACCCTTCATTACATCAACTGCTCCAAATGTCACAGGTCCTCTGTCATTCTAAGCTTGCTTTTCCTGGGAGAAGATAGGAAGCCTGTCAATGAACAGCATTTACCAAGACAGTTGGGAAAGAACAGTTTCAAGAAGTGGTGTGGAAAATATCAGGGTAGAATTTAAAAAAAAAAAAGAAAAAGGCAAGGCAAGGTTTAGGATCTCCACATGCTATGACTGACCACAGTGTACCAGGCATCAAACAAAACAACACAGAGATAGCAGTGTATTGTGTGTAAAACCATCCATCCAACCCTTCTTTTTTTGTGAATGATGGAAACATAGTACTGAAGGAATAAAGTAACACTGTTGTTACAGATCAGGTCTGTTTTCTATGTGTTTGCCTCAGTTGTACTTAACTACAGATTTCATTAAAAAGCCACAGAATGAATAATCTGTATTAAGAATGCTGTTTATTTGAAACTCTAGACCTAAAGTCTTTGCAGAAAGTTAAATCTGAAAGCTTCAGCAAGAACCCTGCACCAAACAGCAAGCAGAAATCTGAAAATTTCCCATCACCAAAGCTGCACATCCCATGACCTCATTTAAATTAAGAAGAAAGAGAACCAAATTAAGAAGCAGCACCAAGCAGGACATCTCCAGATCTCTGTGTCTGGAGGATTCACTTGTTTTTCCAGGAATTAAAGTATCTTCACAACATTTCCAAACATGCTATCCACCACGAACAACACATCCCTTGAAAGGATCGTCAGTAATTCCCAGATTAAGAAATTGCATGTGTATATACCCAGTGTAAGAGGCCTGGACCTAGTATGAATTAAAATGGCAAATTTATAATCTGTTTCATTGGATTGTTAGATGTGTTAAAGCTGTTAGGGAGGAGATGGGAAAGATTCTATCACAAATACAGCCTCTCGAGCTCGTATAGTTCATTGGAGGTATATACTGGTCTTGAGAAGTGTCATTGAAGCAAAAAAGTGAATTTCAACTTAAACCAATTCTTTTACAAGCAATGTAAAACAGGAATGTCCATTAATATCCTGAGAGAAGAGCTTTCATTCAGAAATCCACACGTGTAAGATAACTGTTTGAATTTAAAACATAAGCCACATAGATTCAACTCAATCACACGGAGAAAGCTTTAGGATATTAAAGATTTTCTACCTCCTCACTCAACAACAATAAAATCAAGACTTTCACCTCATGCCACAACATCAATATGAAAAATCATCATCTAAGAGGAAAGAAAAAGTCTGGTGCAGCTTAAAAGTCAGCTTTACTTGGCTTTAAAACTGTATGTCCAAGTTTGCCTAGAGGCACTGAGACAGTGAGAACGTCTGCCCTTCCTGTTTGGAAATAGTGAACCATTTTCTAGGCAGCATAGTGGAAAGGGAACAAAGGCATCTATTGATCTCAGGATTATTTAGATCTCTTCTAATCACTAACTGTTCCTGAGATGCTTTTCACCTTAAATGTAGACATGGCTCTGACAATCAGTCATGTTGCTTGTCTGACTGCATTCCCGACTCTGACTGGCTTCCCTAGAGTTGATGATACTCTCACTTCTAGTCTGATCCTTGAACTGCCGTGTGTTGTGTTCAGCATTTTATTCTTTTTGGTTTTAGCATCTACATATGGGAACATCAAGCAAGGTTTTTTATGACTTTACAATGACAATCCCCACCAGCAAGGTGTCATTCATGTAAACTAAATCATGTGTATGCAGGACGATGTTGCCTTTGTGCTTACCATTCCCTGAATTTCAGAAAAACTGAATTTCATCAGCCTTCCACAGAGAGCAGACTAACAACTGGCTCAACAATATACTAATTCTGCAGCACCTCTGTAAAAATGTTTTTCTTTAATACAACACAAAAGGTTAAAAAGTGAAGCATTAAAAGAAGAGTAATGAGCTGTCAAGTGTGGCCTCAGATTGCACCACGATGTTGCCTACACACAGGAAGATTATACAATTAAACACCGGCCTATGCCTTATCACTTCCACCAAGTCTCTGCCTATAGTCTGCATGTGCTGAATAGAAGTTGTACAACATAAAATTTAATATTCATAGTTCAGTTCATGGACAGATATCTCATTTACTATGTTACTACTGTTCATTTCCTCAGGGATTTCTCCTGTGAAATCTCTGGAAAGCTCCATAAATTCAACAGTCTTTTGGGGGAGGGCAGATCTAACAGCCCCATCCACAGACAGGTTTCAGCCAGGAGTGATTAAGGACAACACTATCACTCTCGATGAGTTATGATGCCCACCTGAGAAACCTGTAGCACAGTTTTTTGTACCTGGTATGTTCAGAAGTCAGGTCCTTCTGACTTTGGTCACTGCTGGAAGCCTCAGGCACTTTGCTGAGTAAGATCACGAAGTAACAAGCTGGACATCAGTGAATGAACACATGGATCGAGGACACTTGTGAGAAGCTCATCTCCAGTGATATGTACAGCATCACCCACGATCTCCTCAGTCCAGTAGATCCAGTAGAATCCAATTCTAAATGTGAACAGACTGATCAAATTACAGTTGCACTGACAATCTTCAACCTGGGGTTTCCCAGTTTCCAAGTGCTTAGCTCTAAAAGCCTACATTATTTGAAACTACATACCAAAACTTACATTCAAGCTGATCAACATTAGAATCTTTTAAGTCTGCATTGAGGACCTGTACCTATCAGGGAAATGGCTCCACAGCTAAAGTGATCGCACTTTTGTCCTAACAAATAGATGCCATCTCTTCAAGCCTGACCTCAGTCCTGCAAAATCAGGGACTTTTTGACATCTTCTTTCATTCTCCCTGACTCCTGTCTTTTTCTCTGTTTCTAAAGTGCTAGCCTGCTTTCCACTTCATCTTCACATTTTCAAAATGCTCTCCTTATCGACCTACAGTGTCTGGACAGGATGGAGGACAGGAAGTGAATGACTTTCTGCCTGTATTTCAGCACCATATTAGGCCACAAACATCACAAATTAGAGGACATGTGTTCAGCTTTATGCTAGAGCATGCTCAATTACTCTGTAGGTTAGCATTTGCAATATTTGGCCAAAGAGATCTGTGAGGTTCAAGAAAATGTTTAGATTTCAGGTTTCTTGAGCAACTTTTGCTCAAGAAACATAGTAAATTTATTTGAGGCATTTGCAAACTGCTGCTTTGAGAAACTCACAATTTGTAATTAAAAGAGCCATATATTAATATAGTACATTACTAGCTGTTAGGGATAGCCTCAGCACTCATTCTTTAAAATAAACAGCAATATCTCCCTTAATGTAGAGCCCGGTGCAGCAGTGGAAGTTGAGCTCCCTGGCTAGAAAGCAGCTCTGCAGAAAAGGTCCTTGGTGTGCTGGTGGACATCAAGTTGAACATGAGTCAGCAATGCGCCCTTGTGGCAAAGGAGGCCAACAGCATCCTAGGCTGCCATAGAAAAAGTGGTCGAGGGAATTGACCCCTCGCATCTGACACTTGAAGAGTCCATATCTTGAAGTGCTGTATTAGTGCTGGGGCTCCCCAACACAAGAGACACGGACACACTGGAGTGACTGCAAGGGAGGCCACCAAAATGGTCAGAGGTGCTGGAGCACCTGGTGTACGAGGAGAAGTGGAGAGAACTGGGAATGTTCAGCCTGGAAAACAGGAAGCTCAGGGGAGATCTGCATCATGCAAGGGTAGACCCTTCATGGAGATGTACAGAGACAGCACAAGAGATAACAGGCCCAAGTGGAACCAAAGCAAAAGCCAGCCAGCCAGTTGAGGGGAAAAAAAGTTTTAAAAAACCTTTCAAAAACACTGTAAAAGGTGCCCAGAGAAGTTTGGGAATTTGCATCCTTGACATTCAAAACTCAAGTGAACATAACCTTCAACAACCTGCACTACCCCTGCGTGTTTTGAGGGGTGCTGGACTAGATGACCTCCAAAAGTCCAGTCTAAATTGTTCTAGCATTCAGCCTTAGGTCAAAAGTTTACTAATTTGAACATGAGTGCTAAATATATTCAACTACTTGCACAGGTTTATTTCAGATACATCTAAAACATTAGAATATCAAGACACCAACTACTCTGTACTCTGGAGTAACAGCCCCAAGAGTGTAAATACCTTAATTCTAAGAGTGTGTGTTTTAAAAGTTCAGCTGTCAGTTTGATTTTCTTTTAAAATACTGTGTATATTCAAACTGGAACATGTGCTTCCATGTTTGTATTTTTGGGCTAGATAAATCTATCCTTGTAAAAATCAAGTTCCTTCTGCAGTCCATCATGGTGTGTACACCCAAACATACACTCACACACTGAGGAAATACAGGCCAGGTAATGGCTGCAGAGGTTGCAGCTTTGAAGCCAGATACCCACCAAGTACAGTCAGCTGAGGACATGTTCAGTACTCATCTCTTTATGTTAGCATGCTGCTTCTCAGTATTAATCACCACAATGACTAGCTTTCCCACAATGCATGAGAAAGATGCAAGCTGTCCTGTAAGACTGCAGCCCCACACAGCTCTGCAGGACATGGGATTTCAGGCAGAAAAGGAAATCCACTCTGAAAATCAAAAACTCTGCCTACACAGAAACCCCCTTTCTGTTAGCTTCATATTGTGCAAAGAGGAGTCCTGCATAGCATATTTCCATGGCTGTGCTAACATTCTGCAGCCTGCTATCTATGTAGAAATAACTTAAGGATGAAAAGTTATTTCTATAGAAACAAATGAGTTACACACCAGTATTTATTTCAGCTTTAGCATTTGTATATCCGCATCACTGAGTTTGGGAACAAACGGTGAAATAAAGCAGCAGTTTCAGCGCAGCATCCATATTTCATCACCAGCAGCTGGGAAGGAAGCCAGTGTACATTTTTTCTTTTTACAGCATTCATAAAAGGCAGCTGCTAGTTAATATCATCTTGTGGATTACCAAAAGTCTAGCCAGTAATCTTTTCAGCCTTGAGTAGGACCTTATAAGATGAGGCTTCTACTTCAGTTGAAGTGGCCTTTTTGAGGAGCAACAGATACTTCAGAACAAGCCAGTTAAAAATAATTTCTATCAGCAGTTCTTCTCTCCCTCAGAATGTAAAAGTCCTTTTGTGCTCCACTACAAACCCACATGGCTCATCCTGTCTCTGAATGACACGTGCTCTTGGTTGCATGACACACAACAGATGTGATCCAAGAAACAAGTGGTGGACAATTAGGAAATCACCTGCTCCTAGGCAGAATTACTTCATAGCCCAGCATGTGTCAGCACATTCCAGTACTTCCCATACTGCTTGTAGAGGATGCAGTATTGACGGAAATCCACTCAGGTGGACTGGCTGAGTCAAACACAGTCCATTATAAGGCACATAGTGTGCTGCTCTTGCACAAAAATGCAAATCACGTATATGTAAAAGAAGAGTTAAATGCAGCTGAAGCCTTACATTTAAGAGTTGGAGACTTAGATTTAATCATAATTCTTTAGTATCTTCTGGTTTGGAAACAACTGTCTTAAACTAGATTTAATAACTTTGCCTGGTATCTGTTGTCCAATAATAGATTTGACAATATCCATTAACTTGGAAAACAGACTATTGTTCACAGTACCTTGTCCTCTTTTCAGAAGAGCTACTAATTGACTCGTAACAGAGTGCTAGTCATCTTTTCAGACCAAATTCCCTGTTTCACCAGTCATGTCCATCACTGGTGGAACAGCAGGCTTGAATTTCTCAAATCACTCCTCTTTCTTGTTGCTTCTCATTTGTAAGAGCTCAAGAAAACAACACCAAAAATCATAATCTATTTATTAAAACAGCTTGCCTTCTGGAGCTGTTTTAAGATCACATTTCTGTATTAACTCTAATATTAACAACTATGACAGAGACCAGCATTTCAAAACCTTTTTGTGGCCTTGCTGAAACAAAGTTATCTTCTCTGAAGTTTTTTGGATTGGGCAGTGTTTAAAAATAGACATCTCTATTGAAAATTTGAAAATACATCAGCTAACACAGAACACCAGCAAGATGCAGCAAATGTACCTATAGACTATTAGACACTACCCACTTCATACTGTAGTCAAAGCCTGTGTACAGCTGAATACCTCCTATATACTTTCCATCACCCTAGTGAGAAGTGTACGCAGTTGCAAATGTCTCAGTTGTTTGGGGTTTTTTTCAAAAGCTTGCATGAAGTGTCAACTTCTTGTTTTGTACCAGAACATGTGATTTATTACAAGCCGATATATTCAGAGAAGTAAGGATGGCTCCATTCTTTGCAGGCTATTTCTGCAGCTGTCAGAATCTCCAAGTCCCTAGCGGTTCCCTTCCTACCATAAAGGCTAAGAAAAGCCTAGGGTGAAAAAATTAACATTCAAATAGTTTGTTGCCTCTAAGTCAAAGTAACATTGCTTGAATACTGATAGCTTTGGAGGTTTTTCTTTGACTTATCCCAGTTTCTTTACCAGTATTCAGTCTCTTCAATGTAAAGTAACTCTCAATTTTTGTATGACAGCGTATTATAGATTCAAGGATCTAGGGTGCATCTCATACTTCCCAGAGGTATTCTATAAGGTTAACCAGATGGTGTTTTCCATGGACAGGTTGTCAGGTTTTCCAGACGTCAGTATCAAAACTGTGGGAAGCTGCTGTCATGCATTAGAAGCAGACATAATATGCATTGCATTTTTCACATATTTATGATGAGACTGACAAAAATTCTGAAGTTTTAACTTGTTACTACAGAGTACCACATGCTGAGTAAACATTATTCTTGCCTTGGAGAGGACAGCTTGTTGTATATAGGTTGACCACTACTACTTGCTGGGTTGTCTGAATTTTCACTAGAGAGCTGTGGATCACCACAATCCTGGACAGACAATAAAATGGATTCTCAGTATTTCCTCTCGACATTTTCTCAAAAGTCTAATGAGCAACTGTAAATAGATTTGGTTTTGTTTGGCTGGGGGGAGGCTGTACCAGGCCTGTAGACAAAAAGAGTTTCTCCATCTTCACTACATGATCCATTGCAAAGTGTTTTCACGTGCATTGTTTGAACCCCTGCCCAAAATTGGGAACTCTCTCCAACAGTCATCGTGTTTCTATATACAAATGGAAGTTAAGAACAGGAAGGGCTAACGCACACCCCAAATTTAGCCACTTCCTTTTCCTAAGGCAGCTAGAAATAGAATATATAGTTAGGAACTACAGATGTTGAGAACCTGCTAAACCCTTGAGACCTGTGAGCTGACTCTAGTTGGTTTTAATACGCACAGCTTGCTAAAACCAGAATGTCATTACAAAGAGTAGATGAACATGTGCAGGATTGTATTTTACTCAAGGGGGAGAAAAACAATCCCACCATCGCTCTCCATTCAGTGCTTTCCAGCAC